TGTCCCAGTAAGCATTTTAAAAGCCGATGCAAACACGATCTTACCATCCCTCTTATGCAAGATATTTAATCTTGCTCTTGAAAGTGAAACTTAGCCTACCTTGTGGAAGGAATCACACATTTTGCCCATTCCTAAGCACGGCACATCTACATCATTTGATGACTTTCGGCCAATAAACACCCTCCCTGCAGTTTCGAAGATCTTAGAGACATTGATCAAGGATAAGATGATGTGTCACTTAACAGCGAAAAACTTACTGAGTGTTGCTCAGCATGGATTCCTCAAAGCTCGATCTTGTGACACCTGTCAACTCTCTTTCTTTGACTATGTTCTCCAATCTAGGGACCATGGTTTTGCTCTTTACACAGTATATTTCGATTTTACTAAGGCTTTTGACCGTGTTGACCATGCTCTTCTCCTCTTGAAATTGTCATCTTTCGGAATAGGTGGCAAACTTTTGAATTTTATATCCTCTTATTTGGGCACTCGCACACAACGAGTTAAGATTTCCAATACCATCTCCAACCCCACACGTGTGAGGAGTGGAGTCATTCAGGGTAGTGTACTCGGCCCGCTTTTATTTTGCCTTTTCGTTAATGATGTACCCGATTTATTTCAGAATGGTAAGCCTTTCATGTATGCCGATGATCTTAAAGTTGCATATCGATATAAGTCGGCAGATCATGACATCGTGCTTGAGCTCCTAAAGAGCGATCTACAGGCTTTCGCCCAGTGGTGCCGCACATGGCGCCTTTCTCTTTCCTGGCATAAGTGCTCAGTCATGGCGGTTGGCGACGACCGCCAACCTCAACTAAGTATTGAAGGTCACGCAATAAATGTGCCAGGGGTTATAAGGGATTTGGGCGTATCATACTCCAAGAGTCTTAATCTCTCGGAGCACTGTGCCTTGATAGTCTCCAAAGCACGTAGAACGACGGGGTTTATCCTCCGAAATTTTAAAACTAGGGACATTAGAATGCGCCTTTTCAACATGTACGTTAGACCTGGTCTGGAATACTGTTCGTTTTCATTTAGCCTCATGCGTGCTACTGAGCGGAAGAAAATAGAATCCGTTCAACACTTATTTACTAAGAGAATTTTAACCCCGGCACACGGACATTTGTCTTACCAAGAACGTTGCCGGCTTACAGGCCTCGATCCTTTATGGTTCCGTAGATTACAAAAGGGACTATTTTTGCTGTTTAAACTCTTATATAATCACACATTTAACCCGCTCACCTCTTTAAGACATCATATCCACCCACGACGTAACAGTCACCGTGAGGTCTTCTTATTTCTGCCTCTGGCACGTACTGTTAAATATCGTCGGTTCTTTTCTGTAAATGCAATTGCTATTTGGAATGAACTACCCATGAGTGTGAAAACTCTGCAAAATTTTCCTTTATTTAAGAGAACTATTACTCGATTTTTGCATTCAGAAAAGCTCCCACAAATTTTGGGTGCTGAATCTACTGATCGACTGTACCGTACCGATGGTGTTTGTGGTCTCTGAACACTATGGCCGGTCTCACCAGCTGTTCCTCAACGCCTCTACTTTGACTATCCCCAACTTCATGAAAGGAATTTGACGTCCGATAATCTCCGATACCGTGCAACCTCCCCCCTTCTTGACGGTCGATATTCTACCACCGCCGACAGTTTTTTTTCTCCTGAGCCCTCCAAACCACAAAAACCACCATCAACTATATTTTTATGCCTTAAGCTCAGGAGTTTTTTTTTCCCTGCTGGTCGGATTTGTGTTTAATCGCTTCCCTTGACAATGCCTGTAAACTGGCATTAAATTAAAATTTATTTATTTAATTGCCTGCAGCAAATCCAAGCTGACTTGCTTGCTCTCTCAGCTTGCAGCTGAAAATGGCTAATGGAATTCTCTCCGTCTAAATGTCGCTATATGTGTTTTGGAACTGAGAGGCTACCCCAACCAGTGGTCTTTCAAGGCACACCTATGACTGAATGTACCACCATCAAGGATTTAGGTTTAAGCTACACTAGTAATCTTGATCTCTCGCCGCACGCTAACAGAATTACAACCAAAGCTGCCCAGATTTGTGGCTTTATTTCTTACAATTTCTATCTTCCTGAAATTAAATTAAGGCTCTATCGTATGTTTGTACTTCCCATTCTCGAGTATTGCTGCCCATTCTTTGGTTTGATGAATGAGGATAGTCGTTTAAAAATTGAAAATGTCCAAAGACGTTTTTCTAAATAACTTTCGGATAGGGAACATCCAAATATCTCCTACTCAGATAGATGCCAGCTAATTAACGGAAACTTTTAATGGGTTCGATGACTAGAAGCAGGCTTCTGTCTCCTCTTTCGCATTAATAATAGTTCAAATTTTCCTCGGATTTCAGCCCTTACCCCTAGTAGTCACCCATACATTCTTCGTATTTCTTCCCTGATCATACCTCTTCCAGCTTCCTCCACCTCTATGTGCTCTCTTTTTTTCGCTTCCAGATATACTTTCCTCTGGAATAACCTTCCAATAAATATAAGATCTTCAGATAATCTGCATACCTTTAAGAGAAGGCTATGCCTTTATCTGAATACTGACTCGATTAAACTTTTATTTTCCTCATCCATCCCCGACAACTTTCTCTATGACACTGAGAAAGGGCCACTGGGAGTTTAGGACGCCGCCATTAATTTTCCGTATCTGCTCACATTTCCTTCCTTTTTGAGTCGTATCGTTCCCTATGATCCCTCATTAAAGTGTTAATTTTTCGGTTTTTCAGTCCATCCATCGTGCCCTCACAGAATGCGATTTATCGACGGTCTTGTCGGAACCTTCCGTATTTGCCATACACTAGTAGTCTGGTCGCATCTCCCTTGCCCCCTCCTCGGCTGGTTTCGGCCGAATATAACTGATCGCATCTGGGTTCCTATCGCTTCGAAACTGGTTTTCGATCCGCCACTTTGTCATGAATGGTCTCATCCGGAATACTTATTCTCCCATGACGATTCCCGCCTGGATCCTTTTGCTCGAGTCTACATACAGGCCAGTCCTGCCTGACCCGCCTACTTACCCCTACATGAAATCCGTCATACAATGCCATATAAAGTCCTGTCCTGCCTGTTTTTTATAAACTAAAGAACGAGTTTTATCTCCTATAGTTCTAATCCAATCATACTCATTTTGTTTATGTTAGGAGTTTTTTTCACTGCTCGCTCAACATTTTTCGTAACATGCTACTCATGCAAAAAGTATGGATTAAGTACTATAATAATTCTGTATACATAGCCGAAAATTCTAAAATTAGTGTAAGCGTTATTCTTACTGGCTACGATAGGACCCTCACGGGTCTTGAATAAAAATTATTACTATTATTCATTATTATTAATAAACGCACAACCCAAAATATAGTGGCAATTATAACACTGAATTCTTGAACTGCCAAAGAGAGACAGGCCAACTTTGAGCTACTTCATTCGAGATTAAGGCGATATTATTTGCTTAACGGAATTCTGGACCCATTGCCTGATTTCTGCCCCTTACATATTCTGTAATAACTTAATTTACACAGTCAAGATCATTGGATTATTCATTGTGGTAGTTCCATATTCTTGAGGAAATTTCCATGGTGCCTGAATGTTTATCAATTTACTGGGAATTTTAGCTTTGTAGCTATTATTCCCTCACCAACAATGCTATTATTGGTTGCATTTACAACGGCTTTAGTTAAACAGCCAGCAACAATGCACAATTTTGTGGAATCTTAAATAAGTTTCGGTATACAATCCTGACGTTATTGTAATCTTTGGAGATTTTAACTTCCTTCACAGGAGCAGATGAACGCGTAGATGCACATTGAAGAGGTTCGAAACGGCAGCTTGTCCTTGCCTCCAAGGCGGAGAAGTGAGGCGCTAGAGAAGATTAGTTTTATTCTAGCAGCAGGGTACTTGCGGGCAAAAGCGGAGTCTGGACGACGTTCTAGAAGTCTGCAGAACGGGTCTCCTCGAAATGGCAAAGTGAGAAATAATTCTTTCTTATCCACCGTCCGTATATTCGATTTTGGTGAATAATCTTCCATATATCTGCTAATAACTTTATCAAGGAAAACATTTTCTCACAGAGTGTTTCGTATGAAGGTGAGTTCGTTCTCCAATGTATCTGAAGTTCCAATTCGTCTAGCTTTGTTGATTAAACAACGGACTAAGTTTCGTTTCTGACTCAGTGGAACCAAGCTGTAGAAGTTTTTGTGTTGGCTTGTCCATGTTTTCTTACGATATACACTTCTGCGAATTATTCCGTCATTGTAGTAGTTCACTGTTATCTTCCGCTCGTCTCCTCAAAAAGCCAGTCCATTTCAGACCTACTTAGAGATTAGGACCCACGAACTGCTGTTTTGTCAACAAATTTACCAGCCCATTGGATTAGCACGGCATTCTTTCTATTAACCAGTCGGAAAATTTTGTTTCAAAGTATATTTTATCAAGGTCTTGATCAAATGCTGAATGATGACCTGGCAAATGTTTTCGAAAATTTTAATGAGCGCAGTTACAAGCCCGTTGTAAGAAGACCTTTTTGAAACCAAGGGATTCATAAAGTGCCGACAAGATTTTTTCTTAAGCAGAGTTCATATTTGCTTATCTGCAGTCGGGAACTCTTACTTTCTTCGACAGAGACTTGTCTTAGAATCAGGGTAGCAAATGTAGGACAACTAAATCTGCCTCACCACAGTGCCGCGTACTGGTCACCTTTTTCTTTTCAATGAAACATGATTTCATCTTGTTGATGAACCTTACGACGTGAGACGGAATGAGATGGGCTAACCCGAGATCGAGTGGTCAGAGAAGAACAGTAAAAACTGGAGTGGCCATTTAATAATCTAACCGGATCACCGCTGCCAAAAACAAAAGAGCGGCTTGCAGGTCTCGGGCGTCCCCAGTCCAAAATGACGAAGCCCAAATCCCTTTCATCGTGTCCCCGTTGTCAATGGACATTTTGCCACATACTCGCCTCGCCAGGCAACAACACCATGACAACTTCAACTAATGCTTCCGCAAACGCCTCAGTCGTCATGCAGTGCGCAACCTCCACAACGCCCAAAACGCCGACAACCAACACTGGCGAGCACGCTACAGATGCCTCGGCATCGCCGCCGCCGCCGCCACTACTGCTACCACCACCACCACCACCACCACCACCACCACCACCACCGCCGCCGCCTCCGTCATCATTGCCGATGTCCTGCCGCCAAGACTACCATCCTTCGATTTCCATCATCGACAAGAAAACTGCAGACGTCCCGCCAACCAACACATTCACCATAACTACCGTCCCACTGCCAATGCAGACTCAATTCCAGCCTTCGCTCATTGTAATCGTACCTTCATGTCACTCACCATCCTGGTCAGTCACTTGCGAACCTATCATACCGAGGCTGGCAAAGCAGTTCAAGGAGGACTCGACGCTCTTACATCAACCGCTTGCACGGTCCGCCTACATCCAGTCGCAGCTTGGGTCTGTTAGTCCAAATGCGTCCACATAAAAGTTGCGGTCACCCATTGCAAACGAAATCCCATAATTCATAGGTATTATGAATAACATGAGCCTAGTAGTCATCTGGTGGATTCTAGGTGAATTACTTATGAAATCCTGCTTGGGCCGTCAATTTACCGTATAATATTTGGTGGATCCCAGACGCTGCAGTAGGTTGGGCGGGTAAACTTGACCCAAATGTGATTAAACTCGCATCGTCCGGCAAGGCCTAGTAGCTCAAGTGGCTAGAGCGTTGGCTGTACTAAAACCTTCCCCTTACTGCGTGGGTTCGAATCCCACCGAGGCTCCGAGATTTTCACAGTTGGGTCAATATGAATTAATCCCATAACTAACATCGCTCACAAACAACTCAACCACACACAAGCCCGTGCCACACCACGATCGCAGGTAAGGCTTTGTCGCATTGCACTTCAGTGTGAACCATGTCCTTTGGCATCTTTCATTTTGGCCTCTGTGGCATTCTCAAGCGTCTGGTCTCCGAGCGACCCACCTCTGTGTGTAAGAGCATGGTATGCTGTGCGGAAGTTAGGTCGTTTGCAGCTGGTGCTGATGGACGGTTTAACTCCACCAACCAATTTCGCCCAATCCCCACATCAGATGATTGACCGGCTCAGACAGTGAAGTGGAGCATTAAAGAGGGAAGACAGGGCTTGAATCGTTCGATAACATCTTACGAAATCCAACGCAGATTCCTCACCATAAATCATCCGATGCGCTTTTTAACTATCACGCGGCGCTGAAAGCCGGAGTCTGGAGGTCTGATATTTAACAGGATAACTCGGTCCTCCTCACAAGACGAAGAGTTAAGTTACAGTTGCTCCTTCTCAACATGGCCTGCATGGCACTTTCCCTCAAATGAAACCTAACCGCCCTTCTCCCCTCTCTGCAATAACCTGGTGCTTTGTGAGCGGAAAAGGCGAGTGAGACGCACGTAAGCGGGTCGTTTGGCTTCCGACCACCTTGAATCTCTCTTGACACCGAGCCCAGGAGAGTGGAGGAAGAAAGGGTGGTAGATGCATCGCAAACGCGCTATCACTACAAACTAGTTCACGCATAAATGACCATCCCGGAGTCCACACTACTGTGGACGAACGGCGGAAGTCGTCGGTAACCACGGCCAAACTATCAGTGTCTTTGGAAGGGGTGGATGCGAAGACGAGAAGAGGCTGTCATTGTCGCCACCACACTTGCACACTCTAGGGCAGAGACCGGGGTTTCCTCCCACTGCGCGAACAAAAACCCTGTAGACATTGCTGTCTAACTGGATAACAGTGCGCTGTCACCTGCGATGGCAGTTGGAGCTGTGGATGAGTACGAGGCAACTCCCCTTAAAAGGATGGAGGCTCCAGCGGAAGTGGCAGAGACAGTCAACAGAGGAGGACAGCCTACATGCAGGGAGTTGAATCCCTACCACTTTGAGGAAATTAGTGTGCGACAGAAACCTCCGATGTTTTAACTGCCTACTTCGCATTCGGTTGTTACGTCAGACGTGGCAGGAGATTTTGAAGTGGAGCTGGGAGGTGTTTGCGAGGTGTTTGTCAATCATTCGCCCTAGTCATCGATATTGCGGTCAGTTTCAGGGAATTTGAAGAATTCGAGAGAAGCATCAACCTGACGTAAGTCTCCACTGCATAACTATGTACAAAAGTGTCGGTAGTTAGCCAGGGAGAAAACTGAGTTGCATACAGTTTTGCCGTGTATAGTGCAAAGTTAGGAAATCTGTACTATGGTATGAGAATAAGTTTTCTGTTGGCTGTGGAACAGACATTATAAAGGCCGGCAATAATCCAACAGATCGGCATACCGAGGCATCGAACTTATTAGTTGATGTAGTATAACGATGGAGGAATCGGACGGAAATGCGCGTTTGACCAATGGTAACAAATGGTATTTGCTGAATCCGAATCGAAGACGAATGTGAATAAGCGCACGAATTTATTGGAAGCCAAATTCAATGTTTTCGGGACAAGCTTGGGTCACATGGCATGTAAGATGATATTCCGGCCATTACTTCGCCGAATTATTTCCATCTGGAAGAAGAGTCGGATAGAGTCATTACTGATTGGTCATTCTTTGGAGGCTGCGAAAGTGGACAGTAGTAGAAGGTACACAGTTTTCGGCCAACTACTAATAGGTTTCAAGTAGATATAGATTGATATTTCCACATACTAAGAGTAAAGCGCACGATTCCAAAAGCATCAGATCGAAATTGAAAATAAATTAGCGCAGGTGACTCTGAATGTATGGTAGGAAAGCGCTTTCGCAAAGTGTAACGGGAACATTGCTTTATCCGTAATAATGATATGCAGTGAATACGAGTCAGGGACTCTTGAAGTCAGTGAGCACCGCACGCACTTAGTTCTGTCACTGGAGGTAGCGGGAGTGTAGGGAAGCTACTTGGGATCCGATGCAGATTCCACATATCTGTTTGAAATGTGAACTAGGGTACACTTAACATCCAAATATACATAGTAAAATTCTGGGTTGCGCGAAGGATTACTCATCGTCTGTGAATTACGCACGCTTTTATTTTTAACCCAATTTTTGAGAGGTTTACGTGGTTTATGTCCTTATTCACAGAGAAGTCGGATACTGCGTAATATTGATCAGCAAAATAAGTCGGAAGACGTCTTTGCTGAGATTTTGCAACAAACGTGATAAAAGAAGACAGCCCTTCGTTTAAGCGAATGCCGTTCGCCGGTGCAGTTTGACCTGAAGCTTCATTGCCGAGACGACCTCGTTTGGAAGTGATAGCTGGAAGCGGTAAATAATAATGAATGTCTGCTCAGCGACGATTAGGCCATCTTGCTACAGCTCACGGATCTGACTCTGATAGCAAGACGATGCTAAGACGACCGGATGTGCGTTCAGGCTCAGCGGCTAACAAAGCTAAGCAGCTCGTATACCTTTGTCACACAAAACCTGACTCCCCGTACTTTTGATGGAATACATAGATTATTTGGTAAATTTCGAATAATTCACATTGACCTAACTGTGAAGAACTCGGCGCCTTAATGGGATTCGGACCCACAACAGCAAGGTGAAAGCTTTAGTACAGCCAACGCTCTAACCACCTGAATTGAAAGGCCCCGCCGGACGACTCGAGTTTAATCACATTTGGGTCAATTTACCCCTCCCCCCAACCTAATGTAATGTCTGATATCCACCAAAGCCGATACTGTAAGCTGACTGTTCAAGCAGGATTTCCTAACTACTTCACCTAGAATCCGCCAGATGACTATCAAGCAGATTTTGAATAATTCATATTGACCCAGCTGTGAAAAACTCGGCGCCTCGGTGGGATTCGATTCCACGACAGTAAGGTGAGGGCTTTAGTACAGTCACAAAAGGATGCCCATCCCAGTTAACTTCGACGTTGCATCTGTCATATCGGTTATGGAAAATTGAATCATATGTCTGCTGCTGGAAGGGGACACAGTGCTAGAGATGTAAGAAGTATGCATGTGTTATGGAGTAAGATCACAGGTAGCCCAAAGGATGTGAGTTTGTGCAGATAGGATATGATGCTATGATGGGGCCTGAACAGTGGAGATTCGTACCAGTTTTCCAGTGCGAAGAGGACTATATGCCCAGAGGCACTGTGGACAGGTGCGACGGCTACAAAGAGTATAGGATATGGCCACTAGCACTCGTTTGCCTGTTTCAGTTTGGTGGATCCTCAAATGACTCACCACGCCGATACCCGACTAATAGGGTCGGTGACCGTCTGGACAGTCTGGACTGTGGCTACTGATTTGGTCGTACTGACGGGTTGAGTTTGCCTTTGTATAGCGTGGGTTCGCCGTCTTCACGTCACCGTGAATTCAGCTGTAGTCGATATGTATTTGGACGAAAATCCCTTTAGTGTTTCAAGGTCCCAGGGCATTTTGCGCAGGACACGAGTGTGTGACGGGTACATATTGGGTCTCCTGATACCGGTTCGCCGGCCTCTTCGCGACAGATTAACGAATGATCGATCAGGCTTACAGGTGATGTTAAGATACGGTCCCAATAGCGACAACTTGGAATTAGATCCACAACGTTGGTGATTGAGGCTGCAGTTGTGATGTTCAACAAAATAATTGCAGTGCCCTCATTAGCGTCTCTAATGGTGACTGTGGTGATGCTTGTTGTTTGTTGTTAGGTGAAGGTGGGTTTCATTGACATTTTACAGGGTCTGCAGATGCCCAAAAAAGACTCTTCCATGCCTATATTGTCGTAAACTGGGCGAGCACGACGGTAAAGGTCCGATGCTTTCTCCATAATTTCGTACCGCTTGAGTTGTGTTGACATAACCTTACGCTCCGGCAGCAGCTTTTCGGCCAGCTTCAAAAATATCTGCTCTGTAGTTTACGGTGATGCGCCAGACCTTCCAATTTTGGGCGATGCCCTGTCGCCAAATATATATTGAAGACCTAACCATCTGCCACTTAGTAAATTTGCCAAAAAGCGCGGCGAGTTAGTCAGTCAGTCAGTCAGTGTATTTGAGGGAAATAGGCTTACGCCTTCGAATTCCCTATTTGCACATAAAAAATCGATAAACAAGCAAAAATGTGAAGAAATTACATCATTAAGTGAATGCATACATTGGTTCACATATGTCACTAGTCACGTGGCTGAAAAGTCACATAGTCCGCTTGTTGCTGCAGCATATATCTGTCAAGGCGACATTTAAATGTCTCCACAGATTGAGACATAACAACCGTCTCGGGCAGGTTATTCCACGGTTCCACGACACGGTTGGAGAAGAAATATTTTCTCACATTCAGTCTACCCTGTGGCACACGTATGTAGCTTGAAAGGATGTCCCCGGAGGTGAGTTGTAGTGGCGAGTTGGAAAAAGTCATCGTGCCGAAAGGCACAATCCAAGCCGCGCACGATACGGAAAGTTTGTATCAGGTCTCCGCGCAACTGCCTATAACTCAGAGGACAGAGATTAAGGTCAGTTAAGCGGATCTCGTATGGCAGTGCACTTTAACGTCTTATTAA